TTGGAGCCTGGGGAGCTTGGGGCGGTGATGGGAGGATGGAGGGAAGGGGTGAGGCGGTGAGGAGGGCTGTGGATGGGGCACCGATAGAAGGTAGAAACTCAGTGGTGGGTAGTAGGAATGAAACATCCAAAGAATTGTTTGGGACAAATTCCAAGACCCAGACATGAGCTGGAAAAGCAGGTATGAATGACAGAAGTTGGCAGAAGTCAACAGTAGGCAGTGAAATCATTCATTATCCATCCATCTAATCCTTCCTTCTTTCATTCACTCACCACTGAGCTCCTAAGCACTGAGCAGGGACTGGAGATAAAAATCATTAATACTCATCCATAACTGAATAAAAAAGCAAGAAGTCATCACCGTGTAAGGTGCTATTCATTCATAAGACAGAGACATTCTACCTGGGAGAGTACAGGAAGGATTCTCAGCAAAGGTGATGGTTGGGCAGGTTTTGAAGGATGCATATGAGTTTGCCAGGCAGAGGACTCAATATTAGAACATGAGAAGGGGACAAAAAGAAGAGGGATGGTCTTCTAGACATAGTGACTTCTATTGCATATCACTTCTGATTTCCCTTTTGTGCTTTCATTTTGTTCTACAGGGCTGGGAATTGAACCCAGGGCCTTGTGCACGTTGTTAGGTAAGTGTTCTACCTCTGAACTATAGCCCCAGACCCTCTGTTTTGCTTCTTGGTTAATCGGAACTATGCCAGAATTTATTGTAGAGTTCTAGCTTCTTATTTGGCCTACACAAGGAAGGCATATTTTCTTCTCCCCTGGATTTAAAGAAAAACAAAAATTCTATCCTGCTTAGAGTTTTCTGGTGCTAGATTTTCTGTAGCAGAGAAAAGGGCTCTCATTCTGTAAGTTGAAAGGTCTTTACAATTCTATCTCCTGGGAACCAAAATATACATGGACCTTAATTCATACAAGAGTGTTGATGAGAAATAAAAAATAAGAAAAAAAGAGTGCTGATGACTAGCATAAGGTATTTTCTTGTTTGTAGATTAGAAGATAAAAAGAGGCTGAAAAAAGTAGAAAATCCCTAGAAATATGTGTGAGGTACAGCAAGAGGGTGGTTATTAGTGAGAGCTCCCTGGCTGAGGTGGCAAAGACCCAGAAAGAGATGGAGAATACTTGAGACCAACATTTCAACCCTGTCCAGGGAAATCCAGTGTATCATAATCCAGTACTGAGGCCCAGAGGGAGAATTGTCACAAAAGAACCTTCATACCTCCTGTCCCCTCCCCCATCTAGCCCCAGGCTCTCTGGGAGCTGGTTGCCACCTCTAGCAAGGTCCTAAGAGAAATGAAGTCCCTAGTTGATTTGTCATGGGTGCAAACAGTGTTGTCCCCTCAGAGGACAGAGATGCTGCCACATTGGATATAGCTGGGGTATCAAGGAGGCGATGCCCAACTCCTGTTCCCTGTGCTGTGGCCACTTCATGTACTGGGGTGATCAGCTAGTGGCTTAGGAAGGACAAAGGATTCCAGGAGCAGCTTCTCTGTGGAGGCAGCCATGGTGGTGACAGTAATAGTGGCACACCTCCATTCTCCATGGCAACTGGGGAGCCGCCACCCCAGGGAGGCCACCATGGCAACAGCTACTGAGGAGCAGCTAAGAACCTCTGGGCCTTCTAGTCTACTGTCTGGTCTTCCCAAAGGGGAGCTGGCCGGGCCCACAAAGGAGAGACCAGATGCCTGCTCTCTGAGCCTGGCCTCTGGCCCCCAGAGCCTTCTGGAAGGCTCTGGCATTGTTTGCTCTGAGCATTTGATCACTGATAAGGAATTTGAAGTTCACTGGGCCAGAGACCTAAATAGGAAGACTAGAGGGGAAATGTGCGAAGGGGGAGTTTTGGGTATTGCGAGTGGAGTTGTGCCTCCTATTAAGGAAGCCTGGTCTCTGGTCCCTGCAAAGGTTTCTTCATATCCCACAGTTCCAGGTCTGCAAGCCAAAGTGTAGGAAGTCCTGAAGTCAGTGGGTGGAGAACTTTTGCCATCCCACCCAAAGCGGAAGCGGGACCAAGAGGCTCCAGTTTGGCAAAGAATGGAAGGGCTGTTGGGGGTACTGGCTAGAGGTGGATGATGTTTTAGGTAACTCCCAGGTTGCCTAGTTCCAAGTAGGAAGCCCAGGGTCCCTCCTCCTACTTCCCACTCTCCTCTTTCTCATCTTTTTTTTCCAGTACTGGGGCTTGAACTCAGGGCCTACACCTTGAGCCACTTCACCAGCCCTTTTTATTTATTTGTTTATTTATTTATTTATTTATTTATTTATTTCCAAGATAAGGTCTTGCAAACTATTTGCCTGGGGTTGGCTTTGAACTGCTATCCTCCTGATCTCTGCCTCCTGGGTAGCAAGGATTATAGGCATGAGCCACAGGCATCTGGCTTTTTCCTGTCCTCATCACCTCTCTTATCCCTGCCTCCTCTTCTTCCTTCCTTTCTCATTTCTCCTTTCCACATTATTTGTTCATTCACTTAAACATTTCACCGAGCATCTACTATGCATGGAGCATGGGTCCAGGCCCGGAAGGAGGAGCCAGGGTGAGTCAGCATGGCTACCCTTGAGCAGCTTGAAAAGGAGGAGAATGTGACAAGTACCAAAAAAGGCCAGGTAGAAAATAGAAAATAGTAAGTTCTGAAAAGAAGAAAGAGGATCAGCTGTTGAACTCTTTCTTCTCTCTCTCTCCTCTCTCTCTCTCTCTCTCTCTCTCTCTCTGCCCTCCTCATTATTCTGACAGTTTTTCAGGCAGGAAATGCAGAATGTAAACAGAAGAGCTTTCACATTGTTCCCCAAGGGCTCCCAGGAATGCCCTAGAAGTGAGGTGCACAAGCCAGTTGGAGGCGGCTTGGGAGGGGTAAGAAAGGGTTTTGTACATCTTCTGCCCAGTCACTCATTCATAAAATATGGACTGAGCTCCTAGCACCGTGCTAGGGTCAAGCAATTCACAGGAAGGCCAGCAATAAACAAATACATAGTTATACAAGTACCATCAAGAAACCCAATAGGCAGCAATGATAGAAAATGGGTGGATGGCCTGGAGGAGCTCACCAGGCCAAGGTTCCAAGAGAAAGGGTTGGGGTTGGGAGAAATGATCCACGTGTGGGAACAGTATGTGCTAAAACACTCATGGGAAAGAAGATGGCATACATGATTGCTAAGGGGAAAGTGAGCTGCCAGGGCCCAGGGGCTGCAAACAGAGGTCGGTGAGGCTGCAGAGGCAGGAAGGACCCTGAGGTCCCCTGGGAGTTTGGATTTTATGAGGGTTTTAAGCCAGGGCAACATGATCTGGGTTCCATTTTTAGGCAGCAGTCTGGTGGCTGGGTGGACTGGATTGTGGAAGGGTAGAGAGGGGATCAGAGATAAGACTCCTGCAGAAGTCCAGGCAGGAAATCACAGGATGGAACTGCACTGATGGAGGGAAGATAGCCGGAAATAGAGAATATGTGAAATGTATTTCAGAGCCAGAAATGTAGAACTTGTTAATGGGGCTGGAATGTGAGCCAGAGGTACTACTCTGTATTTTTGTCCACTGGTCTTCTGGCCTGTCTCCCACATTAGAATGCAAGCTGCATGAGGGCAGAGGTCACTGCTGTTTCTCCCAGGACATTGCACGGGCATTTAATAGTGATCTGGTAGTGAACGAGAGGGCGGAATGAAGGATGGGTGGGTGTTGGTAGCCAGGAGAAGTGGGGTACTCTTCCAGTTGGAGGAGGTCTAATCACCTCCTGTGCAGAGCAGAAATTCTTCCCACAAGCCCCTGGCACAGCGTGTGGCCACAACGCATCTCCAAACTCATCCAAGGCTGGGCATCTCCTCCAGCCTGCAAGGCGGCCGCTTCTCTGTGGTAGTTTTGTTAGAAAGCTTCTCTTTTTTGAAAGGCTTGGAGGACCCACACCAGATGGTCACACTACCACCTCCAGACAGACAGTGGGATGGAGAGAGGGGGACGGGAGCTTCCCTGTTGATTGGGTATGAAATACTTTCCAACACCTTGCATTAAATTTGTGCTAGCAAAGAAAACAACAAAAATAAAGTTCTTTATTTGAACCCAATCTACCTTCCTGACATTTCTATCACTATTCAGAATCCTAGGGCCAGGGACATGGCTAAAGTGGTAAAACACCTGCCTAGCCACACAAGGTCCTGAGTTCAAGCCCCAGTTCCACCTCCACAAAAATGTCAGAACCCAATTTTCATGGGTGCCCTTCAAATAGCTAAAGGTAGGGATCTGGGTTTTGAGTCTTCTCCAGGCTTTGCTGGAGTCCCACCCAGATCTCCCTTCTGTGTCTCAGAGTAAGACTGCAAGGAAGGAACAATTCACTCCCCGAGCATGGTGTCAGACCACCTGCCCATTAATTAGTGATGCCCAAGAAGATATCCCTTTCCTCTGCTGTGTGTGTGTGTGGGTATGTCTGTCTGTCTATCTTTCTGGGGAGAGTAAGTTAAATCCCTCACTTCCCCAAGCCCTGGTTTTCTATAAAGAGAGAAACAATACTTTTGTTACAAGAATCAATGGAGTTTAAAGAAATGAAAACAGTAAAAGCACAAATCCCCACCCTGGGGGATTTGTGAGTCCTGCTCCCTTTAGGGTCAGGCATTAGGCCCACAGAGACAGACTGAGTGGGTCTGAGTTCCAGTTTTGCCATGTACTGGCTGTGTGACTTGGGAGAAATGACCTGACATGGCTGTGCTTCATTTTCTCCTCTGGGGACAAATATAACACCAATCTCGGAATGGATTTTTGTGAGCATTAAATGTTTTCTGGCACTCGATACATGTGGACTGTTTGGAATTATCCTCTTACTCTTTCTCAAGGAGACAAGGTCTTCAATGAAATGAAAAGCTAATTCATACTACCTCTTTAGAAAAACAAGGACATCAAACTGACCTGGTCCTGTTATTGGAGTATGTCGCTCTGCAGTTACCCATCCCACCCCGCCCCCCCCCACACGTTTATAGGCAGTGACCATGTGCTAGGCACTGCATTGCAGATGTTGTAGGAATCAACTTCGTTTCATTCCCCCAACAGCTCAATAGGGAAGATGCTATTACCCCTCTCATTGTGAAGATGAGGCAGGGAGGTTCAGGCAGGTTAAGCAGCATTACAAGCAGAAAGTAATGGAGCCAGGACTCAAACACAAGTCCATCTGACTCCAAAAGCCCATCCTGATCACAGGTGTCCTGTTCTCTTAAGCAGCTCTCCAGTTCAGGCTCAACTCCAGGAAACCCCAGCATGGCCGCCTCTGCTTCTTTCACCCAGCTCTGCCCCTGTACCCCTGCAGCACTCTGAAGGTGTCACTGTACACCCTGCTGCATACCCTTAAATCCCCTCAGGACTTATCTGGCATCCAGTACCCTTGGGCTGTTTGCTGGGTTCTCAGTCTGACCATTGATCTACACGAAGGAAAAAAAAACAAACCTCCAAAACAACAAAAAACAGCCATTCTGGACGTGGGCCCTGGTGCATTATATCATTAGGGATCCAGTGGTGCATCCCATCCCATTATCGCCTGGCCAAGCTTCTCCAAGCGAGCAAATGGCTTTCTTCTGTCTGGCGGGGGGCACAGCCCTATCTGCCCTCCCGTTGGAGGAGAGATTTTATCTGTAATTGACAACTGGCTGCCTGCCACTGCCCTGCCTCTGCTGCTGGCCCAGGCCTCTAGGCAGCTTTCCCTGCGCTGAATTCAGGAATAGGCTTTCCCTTCTTCTTCCCTCCCCATGATTGTCTCTGTGTTTTTCACCCTGTTCTTCTGTGCTGCCCAGATGGTTTGGGAGTGCTAGTATACTCTGCTGTGTGACTGGACATGGAGACCTCAGAAATCTTTGGAGTAAAGCCTGAGAGCCACAGGTCAGGACAAGGACGGTACTAACACTTAATGTGTATCGACTGTGTGCTGTATGTAGACACACACCCTGGCTAGGCCTTTGGAATGGGTGCTGTCATTATCCCCATTTTACTGATAGAGAAACTGAGGTTTTGGGAGGTGACCCCAAATTACCCAGCTAGTAAGTAGCACATCAAGACTAAACAGAGGCCCGTGTGATTAATGCCAAGAGTGAGTGAGGAGAAAGACAAGAGAAAGGAGAGACAAATGTGCACCCAGGTCTGGCTATGTCATTTGTAGAGCCCAGTTCAAAATGAAATCACAGGGCCCCGGTCCACAATTACTGATTCCATGATGGCAACAGCTGATCACTGGAGCCAGTGTGAGGCCCTTCTGAGTGACCACAGGGCTGCCCACTCATAAGCCTGCTTTATGTATGCCCTGTGTGAGTTGGAGGGAGCAACAGTGACGGTCATGGACAGGGTCTGATCATTACTTTCCACTTCCCCATACTACCTGGGCCCAAGTGTGTTCATTCCCCATCCCTATGCAGCCCCTGGTTGAGTCAGCAGTTGGCCCCAGTCTATCAGTCATCCAGTCATGGGCAGTGACTGGCATCCCCAGGGCCTTGGCCCACTTAGACTGGTACAGCTGTGGGGAGCGGGAGGCCTCCTGAACAAACAAGCAGGCACACAGTGGCCTTTCTTGAACAAGGAAGACTTCTTCTAGGTTGTGAGGTCCAGGCAGCAGCAGTGGAGATTGGAATGCTGCCTGGAAGTCCAAGGTCCAGCATTACATCCCTTTGTGTAACCCCGAGCAGGTTACTTTCTCTCTGGGCTGCGTGGAAGATCCCCGAAGAGGTGGGGTTAGGCTCAGGTGTGTTGTGTTCCCCACTGTAGGGGGTCAGAACTCAGGGAAGTCCCCACAGATCCACAGCCAGAAAAGAGAGGCGGAGGCAGACACACAGATGAGCAGCAGGACACTCAGATGTCTTTATTGGGGTTCGAGCACAGCATGACAGTTGAAGGCATGCGGACAGGGCAGCAGGGCCCGGCCTAGGCGTGCCTTAAACACACACAAGGGGGGACAGCTTAGAAAAAGGACTGACTGCAACACCAGAGAAGGGAAGGGAAGAAAGGGAGTGGGAGGGAGGCTGAGGGAGGGGCAGAGGCCAAGGCTGAAGGGGTCACCTGGCCTCTGCTATTGCACGCGTCCTCTGGCCACTGGCCAGGAAGTACAGTGTTGCAACTGGTCTCCCCTTGCCCAAGGCATCCCCTTCTCAGACCCCTGAGCCAGATGGGCAGACAGACCCCTTCCCTGCCGTCTGCCCAGCAGCATCTTTGAAAACAAATGGACTAAGGAGACAGAAAAAAAAAAATCAAAAACGAAAATGAGAAAACGCCCCCCTTCACCAAGAACACAGACTGGGGTAGTGGAAGGAGTGGAAGAGGCTGCAGAGTAGCCTCTGGAAGTCCCCCACAACTGGGGTGTGGGGTGGGAGGTAGAGCCCCAATCTGGGCTGGGGTTGGCTAGTGCCCCTTGGGGGAGGCAGTTTTGCCTTCAACAGACTTCAACAGGCCACCTGCTGGCAGGAGAAACACCCCCAAGAGAGAAAGAGAGAGTAGCCTGGGACCACCCAGTTGGATGGGCAGTTCCCAGGGGCACTTTTCCTGGGACATCCCACACACGGTCAGAAGAAACAAGGAATCTGGGAAGGGGAAGGAGATGGGAACCTTGGGATGGGGAGAGGTCTTGGGGAGACACAGCTTAACAAAGACAGACCACCAGTAGCACGTGCACTACACACAAGAGTACAGTATGTATGAATATAGATACTATATGTGCATATATATCTCTTCAATGTACATTAGAATAGAACGCCAGGCCCAGAGAGTTTCATGGCAGCATATCCACCAGTCCTGTGCAAACAAGGATATTTGAGTCTTTCCCAGCAAATGATTCGTGTCTGGGCTCCAGAGTTTCCCTAAGCCTCTGGCTTTCTGTCTGTCTGCCTGTCTCTCTCCCGTTGGTGCCGCTTTAAGAGAGGGTGAGGACTTCAGCCTGGGCATAGTTGGACGAGAGGGCGTCTTGGCAGGTCTCTGTGTTTAAAGAGCACAGGTGTGAGACACTGGGACGCACGCTTTCGGTTCAATATTGCCTTCTGGGGGGCACAGAATTCAGCAAAAGAAAAGGAGAAACAAAGAATAAGATGTTAGAAAGAAGCCAGCTGCTCACCCACAGGCTGTGGACTAAGGAGCAGGCCAGGAGAAGAGTGGGAAGACATGGGGAACCTAGGGCTAAGAGGCAAGGAAGAGCAAGAAAGGTCAGGGAATAGGGTGAACGCTTCCTTACTCCTCTTCCAACCAGCTCTGGGCTAGAGGGACTCAGGTGATGTTGCAGATCATTTCCATACCTGCTCAGGAAACCACTAGCTCTCAAACTCCCATCCTCTAAGGTCTTCAGAGCATCAATGCAGTGAGGACAGAGACATACTAACAGGGAGGCAATGGGGGGAATTACTGATGTGGCCTATGGCTTATGGGCCGTCACCCAAGCTGTTTTCAGACCAACTTGAGCTCTTCCCCATATAGCTCCACTGCCCTCACCACTCTAGAGTATTCCATTGTCCCAAGGAGCTGGTGAAGACTCTAGAGAATTGGAGCCAGGCCATGCCCAATCCCTACCCTCAATGTGGCAGGAAAAGTTCCAGCATATGGAAGGCCTCAAGAGAGAAGGCTGGCAAACAGTTATACTGAGAAACCCAAGACCTCTCAGAGGGCCCTCAGTGGCACCTTCTCCTCAGCCTGGGATGTCTGGAGTTTGGGACTTTCCTTGCTTCCCAGTGGCAGTACCAGCAGGACAGTTGGGAGGGTGGGAATTTCAGCCCCTCCCGGTCGGCATTGAGACAACCCTTGCAGATATTAGTTTGTGGTGCAGGGTGGGGATCAAACTTGGCATCCAGATCTCACAGCTTCTACCTTGCCATGTGAAGAGCCTCCATTGCTCTCATGGGAAAAGGATGTCATCATCTCTGAGTGACACTCTTTCCATCTCCTTAAGACCATGGGTCCCAGCCACCTCCTTAAATCTTGCCCCTTAGCCCACAAGTGTATTGGGCCTCTGAGTACCTCTGTGAGGAGAAGAAGCCCAGAGTTCTTTACAGTCCCATTTCTGAGGACAAGAAGAGACAGCAGTGGTCTTGCAGTACTGTTAATACCAACCATGTCCACACAGCTTTAGCAATACCCAGCCACTGGCCCCCCTCCCTAGGGAACCCTTTAGGCCACTACATCCTAAGATATACTGGGGAGAAAATGGCCTTAGGCAGTTTTTCATTGGATTTCATGGCTCTCCATCCTTGGGGAGCATCTTCCTAGGTCTCTTATTCTGGATTTTACCTTCATGACCCACCAGGAGTGAGCCAGGGGTTTCAGAGGGTGACTCTGGCCAAGGCAGAGGAGGCTCTGCTTTTCCAGGTTCTCTGTAAGGGGCGGCACTGGCCCAAGAGTGCCTGCTCAGACAATTCTCGGCTTCCCCTCCAGCTTCTGTCAGCCTAGCTGCAGGATGAATGGTTCCCTTCCTTCTGGTGGCACCTCATAGTCACTCTCTCAGAAGGTTAGGCCTATAAAGCAGCCTCTAGGGTTGTCCTGTCCTGAACAGACTGGAAGTCAAGGCTAAGAGTTCCTGTCTGGGATGCTTTCCTGATCTATAGGAAGGGGCCAAACCCGAGCTGTGGAAAAGGTTTCTAAAAGTCAAAGTAACAGGAATAAGTCCAAGTCCAATCCAAGGGAAAACAAACTACACCTCAGATGTGGGTAGGGAAGATCATTCTCGTGAGGGATGCCTAAGGCCTGGATGGGCCTGAGGTCTGTGCAGGCAGTCATCTCCAGGGCAGAGCGCAGTGTACACAGGACCTCTGTGAATGCCAGGACTCACCTTTACCAGGGCCCCAGGAAGGCCCAGAGGTCCTGAGAGGTAGCTGGGGACAGATTAGCTACACAGCTGTCCCACCAGCTGGGTCCTATCTCTCCCCTCCGAAGCAGGTGGGGTAGAGGAGAATGTGGGTGCCCATCCCCCCAGGCACTAGGGGCTCCAGCATGGCACTGCTGCATTGTGTTACCCAGGGACATCTGTGCCCCCCACAGGGGTGCTATGAGCATGCCCATCCCTGTAGGAGGGAAGAGGGAGGAGGCGGTGGGTGCCGTGGAAACTTGGGCTCCTGACAATTTGAGGGCTGCCTTAGAAATAGCCGCCTCAGCTCCCTAAACCAGCACGGCACTCAGAGAAAATAGCTGTGTTACCCATGCAAAATCAGACACCTGGCTCAATGTGTCCCCATCAGACCCCAGACCCCCCCACCCCCCAGTGCCAGGAGTCCTGCAGGGTAGGGCTGGATGGACCTGTCATGAGGAAGCTGGGCTTTCAGACTTGTCTGTGATGGGGGAAAAATGACAGTATCTCCATCCTGCTCCACAGGCTTCCCCATCCCGCCATTTAAAGCGTCTGTTCCTTTCTGAAGGCTGGTCACAGGGTGTGCCTCTATAGTCCTATAGTCTATCTTCTTAATTCTTATTGGTCACTTCATTCTGAGAGTAGGTGGCAGGCAGGCCCTACAGACCACAGCAGGGCTGGTGTATCCCAGTACCTGTTCTAAACAGACCTTTCCAGAAGGGCCATCCAGTGTCTGTTCAGAGCTGCTACATGCACTGAGACAGTGAACCTCCTGGCATAGGCTTTGCACCATGGCCCAACCCCAGCAAGTAACCTGATCTTTCTCCCTGGGTCACCTTTTGGGATGAGTCGTACATCTCCCAGCTTCCTGCCAGGTCCCTAAAGCTGTCTTGCCAGGCCTGTCTTTGCCACCCGGGAGGGAGCAGATAGGGACCTTCTTTAGTCACTCCCTCTACAAAGCTGCATAATCTGACTCTAAAAATTGCCAGGCGCACCGCTCTGCTGTCAGGTCTAGTTCCCATCAGGTGAAACAGGAAATGTCTGGCTGAGGCCTTCATTCCTCAGTCCTGAGCTGAGGAAAGGGCCTGGTTGGGGAGGGCCCAACCGGCAGGTGTGGGCCTCCCTGGGAGTGGCAGAAGCAGGTGCAGGCAGGATGACTTCTGTTTCCTCACTTCCCCTCAACTTCCCTGAGCAAGGTGTACCCCTGCTCACCCAATGACTCACAGACCTGTTGTGCTCCCAGGCTCGTTAGGTAAATGAATACACTTAATTATAGAAATTAGATGAGTCTCCGTTCTGGCAGGAATACAGAGCAGAGGCTGGGTGGGAGCGGCAGGTGACTCAGAGGCAGGGCTGGGAATCTGAGGGAGCGGGAGAGAGAGCGAACTGTCGCGGAAGCAGAGGAAGCAGTGTGGAGAGATGCTGCAGTGCTGGTCACAGATGGGATGCTGGGTGGGCCGCTGGGTGTCACCATTGAATCTGGGTACAGGCCCTCCGGAGAGTAGAGCCTCTTCGTACCTAGGCAGTCTGCTTGCGGTTTGCACCAGCCTAGGTTCTAGGAACCCACACCTGTGCCCCAGGCCAGAGCTGGAAAATACCAGGCCCCTGCTCCCAGAACAGCTCTGCTCATGGACACTGCTCTTTCAAGGAATCAACCCCTCTTTATGCCAGCACAGATGCCCTTGTTCCTTGCTGGCCTCAGTATGGGATGGACAGACAGACAGACAGATGGGTTGTTTGGTCACTGGTCAAAGGCCATGAGGAATGGAAATGCATTTGCCATGATTAAAGTATTAATGTAGGCACGCCCCCCACCCCCTGCAAGGCTGACTGATCCTAGGTGCATGATGTACCAACCTGTGGTCTGTGGGACACTGACGGGGAGGCACAGCCCAGACACACAGGTCTTGGATATGCTGGCACCAATGGCTCAGAAGATACCAGCTGGACAGGGGAGACGTAGGAGCCCTGGGAATAATCTGCCCTTGTGCTCAGGCTCCACTGCTTAACGTGTAGGGTGGTGGGGTGCTGTGCAGAAGAGGCTTAGGGGCCTGAATTCTTCTCCACCCTGATTGGCTGCTGCCTGTGGCCCCAGGAGGGATAGGGGCTGGGAGGGTGGGTGAGTATGCCTGCTTAGGTGTGTGTCCCATTGCCCACAGGCATAGCTAAGGCGCGGAGTAGCCGGGTGGGGGGCTAGTTAGAGGGTGGAAGGGGTGGGAGAGCAGGAGTTTTCTCGGAGGGTAGGGTGAGCTGTACCGCGATGCCAATGGAGACAGCCCCAGACTGGTTCCAGCCGCTCCAGCTATGTTGGTTAGACTCCGGGACTTTTCACAGCCTTGGTGAAGAAAAGGCACATGGATCAGAGGGGCACAGCTCCTCACCGGGGCAACTCCATGGAAACCACGCTCCAAGGGATCCTGCAGAGTGAGTGGCCCTAGGCAGGGGTGAAGGGATCTGTCCTTCTGTGGAAGAGGCTCCTTGACTTTCCTTGGCCTCTGGGTCTCCTTGGCTCCTTGGATAGGCTCTAGGACCTGACACCTAGCTTTTTGTCTTATCCCGTTCCCAGGTAAGTTCTCCCAACTTTTCCTTGCTAGCTCAGCTGCACAAAGACCTCACAGCATCCATCACCCACTTTCTCCACCCTAAGAAGCCCCAATTGGCACCTGCCACCTTCCTCCTGGAAGCTGACACTTGACACATGGGCAACTATGAGTAATGGTAGGGTCTGTGCCAGTGGCTGAAGGAAGCCTGGATCTACTCTCTCTGGGTCCTACACATAGCTGGGTACAGAGAGGTGCAGCATGATATGGCGTGGGAAAAACTGTCGAATGCACACTGGGAGTTTGGCAATGTTAATTGCCATGCTTGCTTAGCAAGGCCTGTTTCCCAGTAACCCACCTGTTCCCTCTCGAAGGTCACTTTAATTGGCTGAGCTACATGCTTGTTGCCAAGAAGCAGTGTGGAGGAATCTTGAAAATAGAGCAGCTGGGCCCCACGGGCACCCCAGAGAGATAGAGTGGTAGGATGCAGGCTCTCCTGCCCAGTGCACATACATACGCACCCTTTCCGTGGGTGAGGCTGCTCCTACTACCTCGGATCCCTCCTCAATTGCACTCATAGTCTCTTGCAACACCTCTACTTCCACTGAGCCCCTCACAGCCCAAGGAGGGAAGCAGGAGCTCTCAGCTCTGTTTGCTCAAGTCCTCCATGGGAATAGGGTCTGCTCCACCTTACACTCTAGGCTGTTCACTTAGTAGGCTCCGGCCAAATCAAGGATGCAGTGTTGAGGGAGGATTCAGTGTTGCCATTGAGTATTTGGGGCAGGAGGTAGGAGAGAAAGGCGTGTCCAGTGACTGAAGATTGGGCACAAGCTCAGAGCTGTGCACCCTCCATCTGAAATCATTTAGCTGGGGCCTCTGGGCCATCCCTTCCCAGGTGCCAGACTGCTAATCCCACTCCTGCCACCCAAAAAGACACATGTTGGTCACATACTTATCAGCTGGCAGAATCAGGGTGGCCTGAGGATCTTGTGGGAATGGTGGTGCCCGGGGAGCTTGCCTGGACTAAGCAGCCAGGGAACATCTTAGAGGCAAGAGGCATCATAGGATCTCTCTGCAGCAGCCACCACTCCTGCCTCATTCAAACCAGTCTCTGTATGGGGTGTGGGACAGGTGGGCAGCAGTAGGGGGTGGGAATACCTTGCTAGTTAAGAAGTGACCAGAAAACTTGGGGTCAAGATTTGTTTTATGAAGAGCTGGAGCTTCTCCTGGAACTAGGCAGAGTGTTAGGGAGGTGAGGTTACAGGGGAAGGCAAGAAAGACAAAATGTGAGCAGGGACTGGGCAGGAGGAGCATCTGGTCTTAAAACCCCTGGACTTGTCCATGTTCCCCTCTTTCAGGCCAGGAATCCCTAGCTCCACAGCCCAACTTCTGCCCTGCTCCTGCCTGGGCTTGGGGCCTGATGCTGGAATTCCCACCTTCCTCAACAGACACGGAAGGAGCTGCTCCCTAACTCTCCAAATCCTTCAGATCATTCCTCAGAGGAGACCACTTTCCCCACCCTGGTCATCTCTGGCTTGAGAGGACTGTCACACCCCAGGTACTTGCAGTCCAATCCTTGGGCTGGGGATGGAAGGGACGGGGCCTGTGTGGGCTTTCTGAGGACTGAGGACACAGAATCTCCAGGAACTGCTTCCTTGGAAAAGACTTAGAACTGTGCAGGAGGCCTAGGGAGAGGCTGGCAGTGACTGTGTGGGCTCAGGCCTGAAGGCAGGAGCAGGTCCAGAGGCAGAAAAGGGAAAAATGGAGGGGAGGGGCCAGGCTCCTGGCCCAGCATCCCTCAATCTTTTAGTGCTGCCCTTCCTTGTAGGCATCTTGGGGGAAAGGAGGCCTCTATGGACACTTTTGGGATGGTGAGGCTGTTCTAATCCAGAGACTTGACTATCAGGGTACCCATTCTAAAAGCGGGGGTGCATCAAAGGCAGAAGAGATGGTGGCCATGGGCTGAGAGGAGGAGGGGACCTCAAGGTTTGTGAGGAGGGCTGGGGAGACTCAGCTCTGTGGGAGCTCCCCAACTTCCCAGCTCAGGGAGCCATACCTTTCCGGACACTGCCATCGGCACAGGCATAGTCCCCGGCACTGAGCAGGAAGCAGGTGGCAGCCTTCTTGTTTCTGTCTCGTGTGCCTGAGCATCTCAGGGCCCGGCGCTCCTCAGGGGTGGGGACAGAGGCCAGGGGCTGGGTGAGACCAGCTCCTTCCTCATCAGACAGCACCACGTTGGCATCACCATTCTGCTTGGAATCTGAAGAGTGGAGACAGAAAGGAGGCTGGGCTGCAATGGCTGCCATGGCCTTCCCATGGAGTCTCTGAGAGACCTGGAGTCTCTCAGATCTCAGACTCAAGAGTGTTACTTTCCCAACGTGAGGAGGGGCTTTGGGTCACCAGAGCCAGGGAGCAGGGGCCAAGGGCAGGATGTTGTGCTTGGTCTAAAGGTGCCTTTTCTCCAGGAGTGTTCCCTGGGGGCTGGAACACAGCACAGACACCCAGCAGCCGGATTCCCCAAACTGGCCTGCTGAGGATGCCCCAAGAGATCAGCCCAAGGCAGGCAGCAGACTTGGCTTTCCCTTGGGTCTGGCTCAGGCTGGCTCTAGAAGTTTGAATTCCCTGGAGCAGGCCTGGTTTGTGGGAGGGTGGTACCACAAGGGTCAAACCTACTCAGCTCTCTCTCTGTACTACTACGGCAAGTCTTTTCTTTACTAGGCACCTAGGCCCGAGGCCAGTGCCCAAGGGACTTGGAGCCCTCTGTTCACAGGGCTCCCATGTCTGGGGGACACTGGAGAAGAGGCCCCATTTCAACTCCCCACTGTGGGGCTCTTAGTCCCACCAGTTGCCTCTGTCAGATAGCAAGAAGGATGATGCTGGCCCTTGGATGTGTGTGTGTGTTTGGAGAAGGGTGGTGGGTGGGAGGACTTGGTCTGAAGACTGTGGCTCTGGCATTCAAGCTCTTAGCATGGCCAAGCAGTGAGAGCAGATGAAACATATAGCTGATAGGGTGCACTTAGGAGCAAGCTCAAGGACCCTTACAATTGGATATGAAGATCTGCTCTGAGCTCTCAATGGGTCTCAGAACACAGTGGGAATTCCCTAGGAGATTTTTTGTTCAGGGATCGAGAAGTGGGCAGGGCTGGGGCGGGAAGAAGAGGGAAGCCTGGGGTGCTGTCCTATCAGGGTCTTTATCAGGAAAGACTCAGGCCCCTGATGACCCCAGAGAATGAGTGGCCTGGTGATGGGTACATGTCAAGAGGCCACAGGTGAGCGTCCTGACTCAGGTAGCTCCCCAGAGGATGAGACTTGCCTTGTCCCAGAGATCAGCCAAGAGCTGCTGCCTTGGTCTCCCGGTCCAGCCCAGTGCCAGTGGCCTGGCACTCAACACCCCTCCAGACCAGGCATCCCACCCTCCGCAGGAGCCCATCTTAAGAGCTAATGCCTTTCTTGCCCTCAAGCCCAGCCCCATGTTGCTGGAGACTGAGTTGATTTTCCTTCCTGGTCTCCTGACCCTGATGCAGGTGAGCTTTCCTGGGCAGCCTTTCCTTCCAGGGAAGGACAGGAATTGATACACAGGTCTGTCCCTATCTGAATGCAGACACCGGTTTCCCAAGACAGTCTGGGCCACTCCCTTCTCGGTTCCCTCCCACCCATGTCAAAGCCTGAGCCCAGGATTCACTCTGGCTTGTGTGGAACAGAAGGCAGCCACCCACTGCTGTTATGTTACCACATTTATTAGGCCAAAGACATCAGACATGACCATTTGGGAAAGAAGTGATTCATGTGTTGATATACCTTGGAGGACCAGCTGCCCTGCTCTCTGGCTAATACTGATAGTGCCCAGCATTTGTAAAGTGGTTCTAACTTCTCCAAAATGCTTCATAGCCATCATTCATTTGGGTCTTATCATTCTTGGGGTAGGATATTAACGTATCATTTCCATTTTATAGGTGAGAAATCTATACCAAGAAAGGGAAAGAGACTGGCTTCAGGACACCCAGCACAGAGGCCACGAAGGGATTAAAAACCAGGGCTTCTAACCTACAGCCCCATGCACTGTCCATCAGAGTCTGTGTTGGATGGAATACCCTCTCCACAAACCCTGATGTAGAGGAAGCACAGAAAGCCAGAGGACGGAGAAAGTCCATCACAGTATTTTGCCTCCTAAAGGGACGGAACAACTTACACTTAGTGAGTCCAGCCCAGTAAAGCACAGCTCGAAATCCCAACAGCTGCGGTTCACCAGGGAGACCCCCCCACACACCCCCAGCCACTTCCCAAGCTCTACTCACCTGCCCGTTTCCTCTCAGCCATGCCCTCTTCCCGGGCAGGCGGGCTGGTGTCACTGTAGGTGCTGTCCCGGGGCGAGGTCTCCTCAGACTTGCAGTAGATGGGTGACTCGAGCTGGGCTGGCCGTGGCACATGCTTCTTTCGCTTTTTGGGCAGCTTCTGTTTGGCCATGGCCAGGGAGTAGTACATGCCGAAGTTGTTTACAATGACAGGCACAGGCATGGCGATGGTGAGCACACCTGCCAGTGCACACAGTGCCCCCACCAGCATGCCGGACCACGTCTTGGGGTACATGTCCCCATAGCCCAGTGTTGTCATGGTGACCACGGCCCACCAGAAGCCAATGGGGATGTTCTTGAAGTCGGTGTGGTCGTTGCCCCGTGGGTCAGAGGGCCTGGCCCCGATGCGCTCTGCATAGTAGATCATGGTGGCAAATATGAGTACACCCAACGCCAGGAATATGATGAGCAGCAGAAACTCATTGGTGCTGGCACGGAGCGTGTGACCCAGCACCCGCAGACCCACGAAGTGGCGGGTGAGCTTGAAGATCCGCAGGATGCGCACAAAACGCACCACACGCAGGAAGCCCAACACATCGCGGGCTGCTTTGGACGACAGGCCACTCAGTCCCACCTCCAGGTAGAAGGGCAGGATGGCCACGAAGTCGATGATGTTGAGCAGGTTCTTGACAAAGTCCAGCGTGTCCGGGCAGCACACGATGCGCACCAGGAACTCCAGAGTGAACCACAGGACGCACACACCCTCGATGTAGGTCAGAATGGGCTCTGTCTCCACCTCCCTCCGGAAGCGCACGCTGGTGATGTTCCCTACCCGGTGGATCTCTGTCACATTGCGGTCAATGTTGAAGGCTTCATGGGTCTCCAGGCAGAAGGTGGTGATAGAGACCAGGATGAAGAAGAGAGAAGCAAATGCTACCACCTGTGGGTCAGGAAGGTGATAGAGAAGAGCCGTCAAGACTGGGGTAGAGGAGCCCTGCTGGAAACAAGGAGGGTAGGCACAGACTACCAGACAGTCTCTCAGTGGAGAGGTAAGATTAAGATAAAGTCCAGGACTACAGTTCCCTCTTTGGAGGGTCTTTATCCACCTGCACAGGTGCTCAAGGGCAATGCTTCCTAATCTTTGCCACAATGAACAGAAAACAGGTTGCTCTTAGCTGGAAGTCATGGATCTGGGAACTGCAGCTGCCTGGCCCCGCCTATGACAACTCTGCCAGCCTCAGTCCCATTCATACAAACCAGCTGAAAATGAGCTCTGATGCGATTCTGTCTCAGGAGTTTAAGGGCAGGGCCTGTAGTCCTGCCTGTCTCACAAGCTCCCAGGTGAGGCTGTGTCCACGGACCACAGCTGGAGTAACCAGTCTCCAGGGCAGTCAGTGGTCCTCGAAGTGAAGGCCTGGACCAGGGGCACCAGGTCCCAGGAAACTGGTTAGAAATGCAAATTTTAGGCCCCACCCAAACCTATAGAATGAGAAATGCCAGGAGTACAGGGCCTAGCAATCTAGTAAACTTTCCAGATAATACAGATACACTCAAGTTCAAGGTCCACTATTTAAGGAATGTGAGGCTGCAAGAAAGGACCTCTTTCTTCCAGCGGAGCAAATTAACCACAGCACCAGCCATGACCCTCTTAGGGTGTCCCCACTCACTGCCTAGAGGTGAGGAAGTCACTTGAAGGAGAACATGTGCCATGGCAGGAGACAGGATGGCCTGCCCAGAACAACCATTCTCTTCTGCAAACTGATGTTTCCTGGGACACGGAGCTCCACAGAGAAATGAACTGCATCCATCAGGATCAGAGCAGTAGTGGGGATGGGGGAACTGGCCAAGTGGCTCAAGAGGTAGAATGCCTGCCTAGCAAGCATGAAGCCCTGAGTTCAAACCCCAGTGCTGCCAAAAAGAGTCAAAAACTGGTGTTTACCCAAGAAAAATAAAAGCACATGTCAGAGTGGTCAGAGTGGCCATGGCTGATTCCAAGAGCTGCCATTAGAATGATGACACTGGCCCTGGGCAGAGGAACAGCTGGACTGAAGTGTCCAATCATTATGAATGGAGATGAGATGTGTGTGTAATAACACCAATTACGGAGCCTCATCTGTTATTCATGTCGTGCCATTCAGCACTGTCAGAATGCCTGTTGCTGGGGTCTAGCCTCTTCCCTAGCTACTGCTATCTGGCTTGGTGGATGAGGCTGGGCTTGCTACCTGAGCAGATGACCAAAAATGTGGTGAGGGAGGTCTGCAGCCCTATGACGTTTGGCAACCCCTTGCTTTCTCTGTCCCGGTTTCTACCTGGTTGAAGCCTTGCGCCTGTCCAATGGGCACTCACATTTGCCTCTCAAGAGTCTGCACCAGGAGAAGGATAGGGCAATCTGTTCTTAGGCCAGCAAAACAACAATGGAGAATACAGGGCAATCTGGGAAATGAGGCAGGAAGTTAAACCTCCAGGGTCTCTGGAGCTGAGCAACTCCAAGGAGGGAACTTAGGCCACGGACATTTGTCAGCTGTCCTTTCTGTGCCTGGCACTGGTAGGCACTCTGTATGCGTCAGCGTCTTCAGTCCTCCCAGTGACCTGGGAGGCAGGTCCCATTTGCACTGGAGGAACTGAGGCTCAGAGGTTATATACTTTCTCAGGTCACACAGCCTGGAAAAGGTGAAAACTGTTCAACTTTGCAGTCTATACCTTCCCTTCCCTAGCGTACTCTTGTCACTATCTCTTGGGCAAGGTCAATTCCCAGGCCCAGGAAGCCAGCTCTGAATTGTCGAGACTGTCCCATCAGCTCCCTGATGCCTGCTATTTCACCTTGAGGATGCCCAAAGACAGCTCCCCCACTCTGCAATGAAGCTCAGTTTCACTTGAGTTGAATGGGTTGATCAGAGAGCACACAGAAGGAGGTCGGGGCTCCACAGACAGACTCATCTCAAGAGCTTTCTCGAGCTCCATTCCTATTGAACTTAACTGGGGGTGACCGGAGATGCAGAAAGGACAAAGGATAGAAGGCACACATGCACAAAGTTGGGGTCAGGTGTGTTGGGCGCTCAGAGGGAGACGCACAACAGCCTCATTACTTCTTTTCTTTTACTTTGCTTCTTTTCTTCCCATTCTTTAAGGCCTTACTTCTTTACTATTCTTTAAAACCTTGCTTCTTTTCTATTCTTTAAAGTCTCTTTCTTTAGACTCAAGCTGTCCTATGTTCCCTTTAATTTCTTAAAGTCTTGGCCCTCAGACTTGCACTGTCCCATGTTCTCTTTAGCTTTTCTTTAGCTTAGCTTTTCTAAAGCCTATGTATAAAGTTCTCAGTGCAGAAAGCTGCTCTGGTGGAGACACACAACAGCCAGCAGCAGCAGCGTCATTCTCACAAGCCACCCCGGCAGTAGCTTCCACCCCTCACAAGCAGCCAACCAATCAATCCATCCACCAATCCAACCCAATCAATCCAAAACCCATCCATCCCCTGCATCCTCCTTCAATGAGTCTTTTATAAACAAGGAGGTGAAGCAACAGTTCTTGGGGAGGGGCGTGACATTGTAACAAGAGAAACTTGCTCTGTAAACATCTTAGGAAACCCAGCTGTGCTGCATTTTGCCTTCACCCCCTCCTGCGGCTTGGGGCCATGCCAAATTCAGCCTGTAGATTATTTGACACAGCTGTGCTATGCCAAGTTCTCATAGGGTTCTCATAATCCACTCCCCTCAGACCCTCTTTCCTTTTTCCTTCAAAGCTTTGTCTGGAGTTCCTCCTCACCAGGAAGGTAAATTTTCAGTGCCTTTGCTAGTCTCATTTCCACCCCGCCTAAGAAATGGGCTGCAAAGACAATGCAAGCTAACAGGGCTGTGGGCAAATGACTACAGCCTGTGGCTCTCCATGGCCATCAGAGACCAGTTGGCTGGTGAAAGCACCTGCCTATGGAGTGGTGGTGTTGGAAATCTCAGGTCCTGGCTCCACGCTCTGCCCCAAGAAGCAGAAGAGAGTCTGGAGAGGGGACAGGGATAGCAAAGGCCCGTTATGCCAGGAAGCATGGGAAATGTGAGCTCTCTCTGAGGGACAGTAAGCCAGGAGAGTTGGTCCACCTGGGAGCCTGGGCTTGAGGTTAATTAGTGATGTGGAAAAACAAGTTCAGGAAGAGCTGCCAAGGGGCCGAGCAAGGGGAGCAGAACCAGGAGGGAGTGACCCGGACCATGGTGTCACCCACAGGCCAACACACCTGTCTGGCTGCTGCCACTGCCCGAAATTTCAGCAGCAGTCAAAGGTACCCCTCAGGCCTCGGAGGCACAGACTACCCTTCTGGGTTAGGAAACCACACCCTCGCTCCCGCTGTCTTAACTTTGGCTTGTCTTTCTTTTCTTTGACACAGAAATGTCCAATGTATTATCCTAAGGTCACAGATACCCTTTCAGGGCCTCCATTATTCCTCTCCACTAAATTACTCTCCCAGCTGGATTATTTCCTAAGTGGTTGACTGCTTGTAATTGGTATTTTGCCTCAGGCTTCCCCTTGGGGTAAGGGGTCCTGATTTTTTCCCACAAAGCCATGGACTTGGGGCTTCCCAGGACAAAAGGAAGCCCATGAGAAGGCTGCAGCAATGCCATCCTGCAAGGACTCAGAGCCTGTGCTTGATCCTTAGCCCCTGCAGGGTCACCTTGTAGGGCTAGCAGGTGCATCTGAGCTCCCCTCTCCTCCCTGTGCTGCCAGACTGAAGGAAAGGGACAGCTAAGGAGCCCTGTGTGGGAAGCCTTGCTTCTTCATCCTGGTCCTGCCCTCAACCAGGTAAGTGGTGCCCTGTGCTGTTCCCTCCATGTAAGACAGGGACAGTACAAGCACCCACCTTGTATTGTCACTGTGGGAGTAGGTTAACTTCACCAGGACAAATGCCTGGTATCTGGTAAGTGTTCCATAAAATGGTGACAGAACTAATGTATTAGGAGCCCTCAGGGGACCATTGCTTCTGGAGCCAAAATATCACAAAATCCTGGCTTTTTAGAAATAAAAGGAACTTCAAAGGCCAGCCAGGTCAGCTCCCTTTTGATTTAACAGGTGAAGAAATTGAGGACCAGAGTGCCTTGCCCTGGTTTCCATGGCAGAAGCTACCAGCTCTTTCCGCTTTATAAAAACACAGGCTGTGGAGTTTGCTGGAAGTCAAAACTGGCCAAGCAGAAAATGGTGTGAAGTGGCTCTACCAGGGCCAGCTCCTCTCCTGCCACCAGAGTGGCCCTCAGCATTCTGGACAGGAGGTTCTCCCTGTCAGGACAATACTTTGCCCAGCACCCCATTCTGCAGAGGCCCCTCAGACACATGCTGGTCACTGTGTCCTGCAGGTGACAGCCCATCTCCAAAGGCCCAGGTGTTTCAACTAGTGAGTGGTCAGCCCTATTACCAGCTTCTGCCACCACCCCCTACCCATGCCACCTTAAGGTTGTTCTTGTGCAAATGTAAGGTCACACGTGGCGTTCAAGTTAGGCTCTGCTTCTAACTGCCTATGAGACCTTGCATGAATTTCCTAGCCTTAACTAGCCTTAAGATCTTCACCTATAAATGGGCATTTACTATGTGCCTCTGTGCTGAGACAGCAGAAAAAAGCCCAAATGAATACCCCTGCTCTACATTCTAGTGGAAGAAGGCCGTCCACAATTAAACAAGCAAAATACATAGCTTGATGGACAGAATAAGTGTTATGGAGAAAAACAGAAAAAGGAGAGATGGGGTATAAGCTATGTCCTAATTCAAATAGGATGGTCAGGTAAGAACACAATGACAAGTTGACAGCTGAACAGAGACCTGAAGGAATGAGGGAGGAAGTCACAGGAAAACCCATAACAGTTCCTGAGATAGAAGGAACAGGCAGTTTAAAGGCCCTGAGGCTACAGTGTGTATGGTGTGTTACAGTGGATGAGAGTAGAACCCACCTTATAGGGTTGTTTTGTT